ACATTTTCAAAACGACTAGAGGCTAAGACAAGGAGACCCTCTTTCTCCCTCACTCTTCATTATAGTTATGGAGGCTCTAAATGGTCTTTTGAATAGGGCAAGGGAGCTTCATTTGATCAGAGCTGTTTAGATTGGAAAAAATGAGAATACCATCGAAGTATCTCGCTTATTTTTTGCAGATGACACCCTAGTTTTCTGTCAACCATTCATAAAGAATCTACTACATTTAAAATGCACACTTCTATATTTCCATACTGTTTCTGGACTCAAAATAAACCTATTTAAATCTAAAATGGCTAGAATCGGTGGCAGCGGGGATGCTGAGCTGTTTGCTACTGTTTTTGGGTGTAAGGTGGTAAATCTTCCTTTTAAATATCTTGGAATTCCACTTGGTGCTAAATACAAAGATCTCATGTCTTGGGAGCCGGTGATTGAATTGTTTGAAAGAAAACTTTCTGGGTGGAAGAGAAAGTTTCTCTCTAAAGGTGGGAGATACACATTAATCAAGAGCACTTTATCTAATCTCTCAATATATTATTTATCAACAATTACCATCCCTTCTACGGTGGCGAAAAGATTGGAAACAATTCAATGTAGATTCCTTTGGGGTGATGATGATGATGCTAGGAAATACCATTTAGTAAAATGGGACCATATCAAAGAGCCTCCCAAATTGGGGGGGTTGGGAATTCGATTCTTGAGTGACATGAATATGGCTTTACATGGCAAATGGTTGTGGAGATACTTGAAAGAAGAAAACAGTTTGTGGAGGCATATTGTACATTCGAGATGGGGTAATTTCATGATGAGCAGGGCTGGCTGTAGAATTACTATCTCTCATGGGAGAGGACTGTGGAGAAAAATTATGATGCAATGGACCAATTTTCAGCAATGTTTTTCATGGAAATTGGGCAGAGGCAACAAGATTTACTTTTGGGATGATAATTGGTGCGGGATGGGTTGTCTTAGATGTTTATTTCCCAGTATTTTCAGCATTGCTCAACTCAAGAATTTGCGAGTGGAGGATGCTGTTCAGTTTGTCAATGATAGAGCTGTGTGGGACATCAAAGTTTCCTGGAATTTGAATGATTGGGAGGTGAGTGAGTTTGTAGAATTAATGCAGATTCTTGATAAGCAAAAGGTTTCTACGTGTGAGGACCAAATCGGGTGGAAACTTGGGAATAACGGAGTTTTCTCGGTCTGATCATACTACAAATTCCTACATGGAAGGAATGGTGAGGATAGGGTTACTTTTGGAATACCCCCCCGGTATTCCTTTCTTTGCTTGGGGAGCTTGTTGGGAATGTATCTTGTAAGAGGAAGGATCCTGGTTAATGGCTGCATCTGTTGTCTTCAAGCTGAGGAAAATTGCAATCATCTTCTGTTGTGGTGTCTGTTTGTACACAGTTTGTGGTGTATGATTTATGGTTTGTTGGGTATTGAGTGGGTTATTGCTGGGTCTGTTAGAGAGGAAATTTGGGCGTGGGATGGGCTATCTGTAAAAAATAAATCTGTAAATTTGATTCCATTGACAGTTTTTTGGGTTATTTGGAAGGGGAGAAATGATAGGGTTTTCGATAATATTGAAAGTAGTATCAACAGATTGAAAGATAGGTGGTTTTATTATTTTGGGTCAATATTCTTAGGTCATGACATTATCAGTTATGTGGATTTTGAGGATGTTATTGATACACTAACACGGTTGTAAATCCTCTTTATAAATGGGTGGTACCTCCTCTATTGGTACCTTGTTCCTATATATATATATACCTTACTTTTTAATTTAAAAAAAAAAGAAAATTTAATAGCATCAAGGATAAATGGTTTCATTATTTTGGCTTTACTATTTTA